TATTCATTCTAAATAATCTTTTGTCGAAAAATCATTTTTGACACCTATTGCCTCTAAATTGACTAGCCCGGATCTGCGGGCGTTACACAAGATCAGGAGCTTAACAACCATGTTTTTTTTATGTAATATACATCTTCCGTAGGCATAAGCCACCAATCCACCTCACCCCTGATCGGTACCATGTTTACCGCACCTACTACGCTAACACGGCTCCGACGAGTCTAATTGTTAAACTATGTCATCGCTTAAAATAAATACCACATTATTTTTTTTTAAACGACAAATCCACTCTACTCCTAAATTACTCATTAATTCAACCAATATCCATTACGGGACTTGAACCCCCTCAAGGAGGGAAGGCATCACCGAGTTCACTGCACCTACTACGACGACACTTTACCAACTACATGATACGTTGGGTCTCTATTTTGATTGGCGTTAAACCATGTCATCCTTAGAATAAATATCACATTATCTTTTTTTTTGGAACCATGTCATCACTTAAAATAAATATCACATTATCTTTTTTTTTTTTGGAACAGAAAATCAACTCAACTCTTAAATTACTCCTTAATTCAATTTATGTCAAATGTGAGACTTGAACCCTCAACCTCAATGAGGAAAAACAACACCGGATACCGTCACATTAAAAGTCTTTTGGTACATATCATATTATCATTCTATTAATTTTGATATCTAAATAAATAATTATGTGTTAATTTTTTTTTTTAATAATTTTAAATAATTTATCCTTCACTCAAAATAGCTCTTTTTCACAACTGCAATTGGACACACGTTCGCACTTCCGTATCTATTACGCTTTATAATGCAAAGTCTTCAACTCTATGGAAGACGAATCTCAAATGACTTCTATTTCATAAAGTTGAACTTAAAAAAGAAATCAAATTCAAAACTCCTACATATCACTTACATTTTGAAAATATTTTTTTTAAAGAAATTCTAATGGATTGTATAAGTATAAACTACTTAAATTAAATTATCCTAAACAATGACTCGTTTTAAGAAATTCTAATGCATTTATTACATCACTAGGTGTGAGCCCCGTGTATTACACGGGTTGATTTAAAAAAATATTAAATATTAAAGTGTAAACAAAAAATATTTTTTAATGTAAAATTTTAAAATAAAAAAGAAAGAAACATATTTATTGCAATTTAATATCATATATATGATATTTAGTACTTTACATATATAAGTATATGATTTTAATTTTAAAATTGAAACAAACCAAAAATTGACAAGTGGATAATATTTATTTCAAAAATACTACAAAATGACAAGTGTCAAAACTTATGAGAGATTGACATGTGGCAAAAAAACCTTCATTTATTAAGGAGGACGAACCTTAGAATTCCAAAACGAAAACAACGAAAAAAAAGATCCACAACAAAGTCAAAGAGTCTATCTTTTCTAGGTTTATTGCTACTAAAAAGTTAATAATTATGAAACGTCCAAAGCACCCATATGATCACCATGAACACCGACTCAACAATCGGGCGCTCCATATGAACCATTTGTCTAGAATCCACCCAATTCACCACTTCATAGATAGATGAAAACATAGGAAGATCCAAGTGAAGCCAATGCCCAACCCGATTCCAAATCTGATTAGCAACCGAACACTGGAGCAACAAATGGTTCACACTTTCTTGAGAATTATGACACACAGGACACAATAATGAATCTATCACCTCCCCCATTTCCACCAATTTAGCTCTAACCGGAATATGATCCAAAAGCACAAGCCATAAAAAATGTTAATTTCAATAGGGACAAAAGGGTTCCACCTAGTAGGCGTACTACCCATAGGAATCGTCATATCATCAACCCAGTTTCGTGCTGACTTAACGGTAAAAATGCCCGACAGGTCAAGCTCCCAAGACCACTTAAGCGATATCTCCCCTATGCGAATAAGATTTAATATCTCCACAATATCATCAAATTGGGTCGATTCAGCCCCTCCTCTAATCCCCCGACGCCGATGACAAATTCCCTCCCCCCTCCCCCCCCCCCACCCACCCCAAATCCCAATAGTCACCTACCCGAGCATCTTGATTAAAGGCCAAAACAAAGAGCCTCCCGAACTGCTCCCTAAGAGGAATATCAAAGCACCAAACATCCTTCTAGAACCTCGTTTGAATCCCATCCCCCACCACTCTATGCATGAAATTAGAAGAGATACAACCATTCTCATGGAGATGATTAATGGATCCTACAATCTTTTGACAAACACCCTATCCACTTCCTATTCTCGAATCGTCCGAAAAACCACCACCTTCCCCATGACAAAATTTGACAATTTTAACCCAAAGAACTCCCTTTTCATTAAGAAACCGTCAGTTCCATTTATAAAGAAGGTCGAGGTTAAAAACATCCAAACTACTAACCCCAAGATCTCCATGACCATATGAGTTCAAAATCAACTTCCAATTAACCCAATGAATATGATGTTGACCTTCATCCACTCCCTAAAAAAAGCGAGCCCTCAGAGCCTCTAGAGAGTGACAAACAGTCGCAGGAAGACGAAACAGAGAGAAGAAGTAAACATCCAAACTCCCTAGAACCGACTTAATAAGGGTCAGACGACCTCCAATGGACAACAACTTGACCTTCCAAGAAGATAACCTCTTCTTAAAACAGTTGATGATAATCTGCCACCCTTTAAGACGAACCATAGATTCTCCAACCGGGATACCAAGATAAACAAAGGGAAGTGTTCCATCCAAACACCTGGTAAAAAAAGCTAAAGTAGCAATCTCCACCGGCTTAACCCCTACCCCATAAATATTTTATTTAGTAAGATTGAGATTAAGGCATGACACCAAATAAAAGCACCTCAGAATACAAATTAAGTTCTGAATATTAGAGACATCCTACTCCCCTAGAAAAATCGCGTCATCTGCATAAAACAAATGAGAAATACGGATGGTAGACCTCAGCAGAACCCATTAGAGCACCCCAAAACACCCCTTTAGTAACCACATCCTCTAAGGCAATATGAAGCCCTTCCATAGATATGATGAATAAAAAAGGAGAAATAGGGTCTCCTTGTCTAAGACCTCTGAAAAGCTGAAACTCATCAGTAGGGCTCCCATTAATCAACATCGAAGATCTAGCATTAGAGCACAAGCAACGAATCTAGGCTCTCCATTTCTCACCAAAACCGAGAAACCCCATGACCTTATCCAAATACTCCTAACTCACAGAATCGTAAGCCTTTTCAAAATCAACATTAAACATCATAAGCTTTTTCTTTTTCTTTTTAAATAACATCACCAGCTCATTAACCATCAACGGGCTATCAAGAATTTGACGGGACTTAAGAAAAACCGATTCCTCTAACCCAATAATATCATGAAGAACAGGAGCCAACCTATTAGTCAACGATTTTGCAATAATCTTAAATTGCAACCCAATAAGACTAATAAGGCGATAATCCTTGATATAAAGCTGATTATCGGATTTGGGAATCAAAGTAATAAAGGATGAATTACACTCATTCGGAAAGATTGGTTTGGCAAAAAACTTGCACAAAAGCAATAACATCATCCGCAAGGATCTCCCAAAAATATATGAGAAAACGGAAAGTAAAACCATCCGGACCAGGGGCATGATCAACACCACAATCCCAAAATGCATTTTTAATCTCTTCAGCCGTGAACCCCACCTTACTAGAAGCAACCATCAGATCCAAATACTTGAATCTAGGACTTCGACGATCAAAACTAACACCAAAAAAAGGCTGAAACTTACCTGCATAAAAATCGAAAAAAGCCTTCTTAATACTAGTAGGCTCCGAAATCCACTCCTCATCAATAGTAACCCCTCTAATCATCATCTACCTTCTGTGTTTTTTCAAAAATGCATGAAAGAATGCAAAATTCTCATCTCCCCCCATAGCCCAAGTAGACTCAACCTTTTAAGCAACATCCAAAGATCTGACTTTTTCCAAATTCGCCAAATCTCCAAGAATTCTCTTCTTTCACGAATAAGGTCATCACTAGATTCACCATCATCAATAAAGTTGTTAATCTATACCAATCGCCCGAACAACTGAGTTGAAGAAAGATGGACAGCCGACTTATTCTCCGCATTCCAAGACCGAATCCTAGTTTTTAATTAATAAATTTAAGCTTGTTTTTTAAAACAACAAACTTACTCCAAGACGGGTCACTAACAAAATCAGCCACAACTCCTTTAACCACATCTTCAAAACCCTCCAAAGAAAGCCAAGAATTGAAGAATTTAAAAGGAGAAGGCCCAAAATTAACCATAGTAGAATGAATCAGGATAGGGCAATGATCCGACCATTTCCTATCCAACACAAAGACCTGAAGATGATCAAAACAATCATAAACCGCATCCGAGACCAAGAGACGATCAAGCTTGCTATGTTTAGCACCTATGACATCAACTCTGGTAAACCACTTTCCAACCATAGGCACATCAATAAGACCAACATCTTCAATGAAATTGTTAAAGTACTGAGCAGAAGTAGAGCAAAAAACAGAACCGAACCTTTCACCCACCTCCCTAACGACATTGAAATCACCAAAAAAGACATAGTTTCCCCTATTGCTTCTCATTAATGCCAAAAGATAACTCCAAAGATGTTGCTTTCCCACAAGATCTTGAGGAGCATAAATATTAACCATAAAACAGTTAATATTAAACGGAATCCACAAGCCTCCCACAATAACCACATTGCTAGTACAAGTAACACTAATTTTAGTAAACACGTTCATGTCCCACACAGAAAAAATACCACCCGATCGACCCTGAGCACTACTACTAGCAAAATCGGATCTATAATTACCTCACATACTTCAGATCTTGAAAAGATCAACTTGCGTCATTCTCGTTTCTTGCAAACCCAAAAAAGAAACTCCAAACTATAAACAAAGCGCCTTAACCTAATTTCTTTTTAAAAAAAGAACGGGTACCACATATATTTAAAGAAAGGCACTTCATTGATCCACCTATACCACAACAATACTAGATAAAATCTTTTTAACCCGTTCCTTATTAGTCTCCATATCATACCCAAGAAGGCCATCCATTTCAAAATATTGATTCAACACATCTTTTATATCATCAACAACTACCAGGACTTTCTTTTTAAGGATCTTAGAAGATCCATGAGACGTAGAAGATTGATCTCGTCTATAATCAGGAGGTTGTGATGGTGATTCGGCTTCCCCCTCCCCCTCCACATTATCTACCAAATAGGGTGAATCACCCTGCACATCACAACCATCTTCCATAATCGCAGAAGGCATCACCGGATTACATTTATTTTCAGTGACATCAACGTTTGACAGAAATGACCCCCCATCCACAGCTCCATTACCTTTTCTTTTATTATTTGTTTGGAAAAATCTTCCTTTTGTATCAACAAATCCAGCTCCTCTAACACCATTAATATGTGTATTATCCATGCTAAAAGAGTTCTCTTGTCCCTCATCAACCTTATCGCTATTCTCTACATCAATAAAAGCATTCACATCATCATTAAAACAAGAATTTTCTTCCTCTCCCCCTGATAGGTTCGAAATATCCGATCCTATTTCTCCCTCCTCCATAATATTCGGTTCCCAATTTGAAATTTAACGCACCACCACCTTATATTCAACAACTTGAGCAACCACTTTAATCATATATTGGATCAAAAAAGGTTTCCCAGTCTTAATCGCACATAAGAAATAATCCTTAACCACCTCAGATTTCTTAAACCGTGTACAAGCAGCTTCCGATACAAAAGAAATGTAGACCCAATCACTAGCAACATACTTAATGACAATTTCCGGAAAACCTTCTTCTTTCAAGAGAATACACAACTTCGGAATCAATCTAATATCCCGTAGCTTGCCAAAAACTGATACTGTCAATGACAATGGGTTATCGATCTCCTATCCGTGTAAAATACATTTAGGAACCAAGCCTTTATTAGTTGTCACAACCCCTGACCCTTTTAGACATTTGCATACGAACTAGAATGTGCAACAACATCCACGTTCATCTTCTTCACCTGCTTAACAAAATTATGAGAAGCAACCTTCTCCTTTTTATTCGATACTCCCTTGTTACTAACATCTCAACTAAAACGAGCCATAGAAGCAAATAAATGATATGATCCCATTCAAATCTTTAACTTCAATAAATTGAACAAATGCGAATCGCTTACTAAGTTTTGATAGTGTCCTAGAAACATAAACATCAACCAACTTACCAACCTTATCACAGGTATCCCATAAGGTCTTGACATTTGCATCTAAAGGGAAATTAGTCACAAAGAATGGCGTGGAGACACTCTCGATCCTTCTGTGATTCATTGAGACTGATTGCAACTGATGCCCCCGTTCATTACCAACCATCGAGAATCAACAAGAAAAACCAAAGAAGACGAGAAGAGAAGGGAAAAAGATCAATGGCGTTTGATCCCGCTGGAACCAACGACGAAGATGTCTGAAGTCGCCGGAGATGCAAGGGTTTTTTATTTTTCACAAAGAATGGTGTGGAGATACACTCGATCCTTCTGTGATTCATTGAGACTGGTTGCGACTGATGCCTAGTTTTTTTTACACCTATTAGAAACCCAGAAATAAGAAATGCTAATAATATCATAAAATAAAGAAGATGTCTTGGGTAACACCGAATCAAAAACAAAGTTATTCTGAACGCTCCATAAAGACCAAAAAGTTGTAATGATCATCGCGTCAAAGGCCTTGCAGACTAGGATGGCGCCCAACAAAAGAATCCACCCAAGTGATAAAACTCAAGACTGTACGATCCCTTGGAAGATCAACACTCCACCAATTAGCGATTCGTACCCAAATATCCTTAAGCATTGGATAATTGATAAAGATATGGAAAATACTCTCCAATTGAGAATGACAATCTAGGTATAAAATCGAGTCAATCTCCAAACCTCTAGCCGATAGTCTTTTTCTCATCAGGATTCTCCCTAGAATGATTCTCCATAACCAGACATTAAGTTTTATAGGAATCCAAGAATTGAATCGAGTAGCTAAATCCCCACACATAAGATACCCAACATCAATAAAAGAACGCGTCGAGGACACTATAAACTAATCAGACGGATCAAAGGACCAATCCAAGTCTATTAGGAGAAGGAGACTGACTAACCAAAGCAATTATGGATAGAAGATCATTCTATTGCATCTCTTTCAAGCCTCATCTAGGTAATCTATGAAGAGAGGAAGTAAAAACATCTACATCTAATCTATTATTAAGTGTGACTTCCTTGCAAGAATCAAGGGCAAAAATACGATGCAATGTAGAAGCTAAAGGCTTATCATCTAACCAAACATCTAACCAAAATAAAAAAAGTCTTCCCATCATGGACTCGAACAAGGAGATAGTACAATTTTAGTTTCTCATGACATTCTTAAACGGTTAGTCATTATGCCTGACATTTCTGGTTTTCTCATGACATTCTTAATTAGATAGTGAGATTTGACATGTATAGTATGAGTTTCAAAATAATGTCTTAATTAGGTAGAAGTTGTAACTAGTGCAAGTATAAGTGTTTCAAGGAGAGAGTACAAAGTTTCAGGATCTAAAAGACTTTTACTGACATAGTAAAAGGTTGTTGTTCGCCATCAAGATCCTTGGCTAGAACAACACTTATAGCATCCGAAGATACTGAAAGATGTATTGTTCACATAAAATCAATTTAGAAGAGGGAGCTAAACCAGTGGTGCAACACCAAAGGAGATTACACCCGAACATGCTAGAAGTAGTCAAGAAAGAGGTAGTCAAACTCTTGGATGCCAGTATTATTTACTCAATATCAAATAGCCAATGGGTGAGTGTGGTGCATGTGATACCTAAAAAAGGAGGCATAACGGTGGTGACAAACGAAGAGAACGAGATTATTCCCAAGAGAACGGTAACCGGTTGGTATGTGTGCATCGATTATCGCAAACTAAACGATGCCACTTTCAAGGACCATTTCCTTTTACCCTTTATTGACCAAATGCTTGAAAGATTATCCGGTCACCTTTATTACTGCTCTTTAGATGGTTTTTTAGGATACTTTAAAATCCCTATTGATCCTCAAGACCAAGAAAATGTTGGGTTTTGAGCATTCTAACTCTCCTAAGTGTACATGCAACCCTAAATACCTTGGATCTATGTTTTCTCTATCATACATGCAAATATGAACAACCAAGGTATTATCCTAATCTAGCATACAAAACAATGACTATAGTAAGATAGAATACATACCTCTTTGATGTAGAATGTCTTCATGAAGCTTGAGTGCCTAGAGCCTCAAGTGTGACACCTTAAATGGTTCACACAACACCAAATACACTTGGAATAACTTGAGAGAATTCTACACTTCATGAAAATCGGCTAGTCCTATCACTCACTCATAGTGGCCGATTTTCCCAAGAATATGATCTTTATATAGTGTTACAATTAGGGTAAACCCTTAATTGTCATGGCTTTCCATTTCCTTGGATCCATGGGTTCAAATACACCATGGAGCATCCATGGAGCATCCTATGGGTTTTAGCCCAACTTGATAATCCATGGAGCATTAGCCCACTATACAAGTATGGATGATTTACACAATCAACCCATATATTTAATTAGTCTTCTTTTGATCACTTAATTAATTCTAAATTAATTCTTGATCAATATTATTAAATAATCCTATTAATATATTAGAACTTATAATATATTAAATAATCCTTAAGTGTTATTTCTCTCGTTATAGTCTATCCAAATGCATGATGCAATGCAACCCAAATGGACCATGTTGGGTCGGGTCAAGTCTTACCAATTATAGTTATGGACTTAGACATTAATCCAACAATCTCCCACTTGGATAAGTCTAAAACTATTATTGTGTATGACTTCAAGAACCGACTGGCAATCGTAGCTCTTAAAAGCTTCTGTCGAACTCTGACCTTGTAGATGAACTCTGACCTTTGTCAATGACTTGTCCATTAGATAATGGATCATATATTCCTCCGTTCTAGATATAATATGGGCTGAGACATGGATTGTAAATCATTCTCTCTGTCCATCTGTTGTTTCCCGATATCCAATTTATGACGACTGACTAATTGAAAAAATCAAATCAATCCTGGCCCGGCCGAGCACTTCCATTTGTCATCATCAAATCATCGAGGGGCCCACAGATATCGCTTTTATCCCGAAGGTAAAAGGAATGGATAAACTTCGACTCATATGGCTTGTTCTACTACTTGTTGAATCATACACAAAGGCACGTTTTATAACATCGAGTTACCAATGCGTTTTCGTGAAATCAATGTACTATCAACTCATAGTAACAACTCATATCTCTAGGTTTGAAGAATATAAGATATTATTGTCTCATGATCACTCGTGATAAAATCGATGAAGTGATTCCAATGAGCGCGGGTTGAATCCAATACTCAGAACTTATGAGAACTCATGAGTGTTGTAGCCCTTTGTCCAACATCTTAGACCTCTACAAGCCAACCCATGACAGTCTTGATTCATATCTACTTCCAACATATGATCGACTGTGGATAGTATGAATAACTTAGTGAATCAGGAATAACGACCTAGTTATTCTGGAAGTCAAAACATGCAAAATGAAACATAATAATAATCGAAGCCAATATGGTCTCAGAACTTATGAATATAAATAAAACACCTTTTATTTATCATTATATGATTACACATTATTCATTGCATACTGTTTCAGCTATCAACTTTATTCTTGAATTTAAAACAATAGTTGTCCCATGCTCCAAGCATGTACACTATGTTTTCTAAACTCTAGTCATGCCAAACACACCAAGTATGCATACTATGTTTGTCTATGATCTTTACTTTGTGAAATAGATCAACTGAACATAACTCCATTGATCCTCTTTTCACCGTCCCAATTCCTTAATGCAAATGCAAGAATTCCAAATTCATGTCATTTAATACAAAGTTATATGCATTGATCCTCTTGTAATGATTATGCACAAATTCACAAAGAATTGGCAACAATCATTACAGAGTATTCCAAAAGAGATCAACTCCTTGGAAACATCCTTCTTGCATTAAGTTTCCTAATCTTACACAAATTGAATAATTTCTAACTTTGAAACATTTCCATATTCCATTTTGATTATCACTTATGAACAAGAGTTACCTCCTCTCAATATGGTCCTTCCAAAATTATCACTATACTTCCAACTGTCCTTGAGCAACCAATCTTTGGTAAACCTTAGATTGTCCTCGACAATTATTTAATCCTTTTAGTCATATCCAGTTCTAAACCATTTCCCTTATTAATGCCCCAGGCATTTGGAAAATTTTAGAAAGGATGAATATAACACATGTATAGATCCTATATCCGAAGCATATGGGACACGATTCATGATGTCTCACATAAAGACTAAACCAGTCTTTTGCTATACTATTTCCATTTCAATTTGCCAAGTTCTCATAATTCAGATTATGAAAAGGGATGCCATAATCATAATTGAATTTTAGAACGCAAATAATGGACCCATATATAGAATTTCCTTATGTTGAGCCATTCCAACATGAAATTCATATATATATA